TGACTTATCAAGGGATTTTAAATAGGGAAAAAAAGGGCTGAAAAATTTTGGCTGACTTAGGCCAAAACCGACTTATCTAGGGACTGACTTATCAGGTCTACCTGTGTATACACTGCTATAATTTCACTTCCATTTAGATTTTTTAAATTTTATTATTATTAAAATAAAAATAATTTGATACAAAGATCATTTTAATGTTAAAGAAAAAATCAATAATAACCAAAGTTCAATTTCTTTTGTCTGTTTTGCATTCATTCATTATTTAGGAAATGTTGTAGTATTAGTATATACAGAGTATACTGTCATCTTATCTCAAATTAAAATCCCTACTTCAAATTGTGGTTTTTATTTATTATTTTCCTAGTACTAGTTTAAAATCCTATGTTTGGTTTTGGAGTTTGATTTTCAAGTAATTAGTTACTTAAATTTGAAAAATACCACAACCTCAACAAACAAATGATAAATATGCAAAGAATGTCATAAAGATCTTTTATACTTAGCTTTATTGATGATTTATTTAATAGAATCATTCTCACGCCTTGATTTTTTCCACTATAATATATATATATCAAAAATTAAAATAAAAACTAATAACAGATAAAAAGAATAAAAACTAATAAATTATTACCTTTACAGTATTAATATTAATATTAACAGTACATAAACATGTCACCATTCCATAATCTGTAATGCCATCTATATTTTATATAAATAATAGTCAACCCTCTCTAAGTGCATGCTTTCATTCATTCCCAAGCTCAGGAATTAGAGATAAGTGCACACCCCCTTCCACCTGCACCGCATAGTTTTTTTTCATTCCCATCTATATAAAACTCCCTATCTAAGTGCATTCCCGTGACTTTCACGTGTTCGTTGCCCAATAAAAATTGTGCGACGTTATTAAATTAAAATTTGTTGACAAAAAAAAAAATAGATAAAGAATTGATTTTTTTGTAAGAGATGATAAAGAATTAAATTTATTATTAGTAAAAGGTAAAAAATTAAATTTATTAGTATGACAGAATTATTTGTAAATTAAAATAATATATATTCTTACACATCTCATTAAATATTTTATTTTTTTATTGCTTCTAAATAAAATGCCTCCAAAAAGAGTAACTTTATCTAATTCTCAAAAATATGAATTTTGTTTATTTGCTGGCAATAATAACAAATTAACTAGAAAAGAATATGTTGATTGGATTGAACAAAAATGGGAATTAGAGTGATGAAAACAACTATAGCAAGAATCCTGCAAAAAAAAGAAGAAATACTTAATACTGAACTTACTAATCCAGATGCCAAAAGACATAAAAATCTAACAGTTACTGAACTTGAACTTGCCCTTAAGGAGTTTATTTTAATTTATCTAAACAGAGTAATCTTAAGCAATGCTGTTTAGTTGAAAAAACCAAGAAAATAGCAAATGGATTGGGGGTGCCAAAAGAAACATTATCCTTCTCTTCTGGATGGCTTCATAGATTTAAAAAACGTAATGGAATTCAAGAACAAAAGCTTCAATGAGAGGCATCATCAGCTGATCTAAGTGCAATTACTGAAGCTTTACCATTATTGAAAAATATGTGTAGTAGCTATCCACCTGGAGAATATACAATATGGATGAAACAGGTCTTCTTTATAGATTAGAACATTAGCCACAGAAAGACTTTCTGGACGTAAAAAGAATAAAGAAAGACTTTCAATTGCCTTGTGTGCTAATTCAGATGGATCACACAAATTGGATCCATTAATAATCTGAAAATTTAAAAAACCACAATGCTTTAATAATATTAACCTTAATAACTTATCAATGTCATACTGTCATAATATAAAGGCTTGGATGTTAACTACTGTTTTCCAAGATTGGTTCCAAGAATTCAACAGAGGGGTTGCTTCAAAATATGGAGACCAATGGGCATTGTTGCTTCTTGATAATTGTCCAAGTCACAAAATAGATGGTTTGGTACTTTCAAATGTTGATGTCCATTTTCTCCCCCCAAATACCACTTCAAAAATCCAACCAATGGATGCTGGTATCATTATGCCTTTTAAAAGACACTATTGCCATTTACATATTAACTTGACTCTAAATCAAATTGAAGCAGGAAATGATATAAAAAATTTAAAAATAGATGGATTACAGGCAATAAAATTTATTATTATTAAAAGTTGGAAGGAAGTGTCATCACAAACCATTTATAATTGCTGGAATCATACTAAATTCTTCCAGACTGAATTAATTTGACCAATCTCTCTGATGATATTAATGATCCAACAACAAACCAACTTTCTCAGGCAGTTGCTGTCCTCAACCTAAATGATACAATACCTATTCAAGAATCTTTGAATAATCCAGAAGAAGAAACTGTATATGAAGTCCTTGATGATGATAATATTATTGAAGCTCTTGTGGAAATGTATAAACAGCAACCAGAAGTATATATTGATGATTTCAATGAAGATGATAGTGCCGAGCAAGTATTGATAAGTACTAGTGAAACTTTAAAAGGCTTGGAAATTGTCTGCACATTTTTATTACAACAAGAAAATTCTAGTCAACAAATAAAACTGGTTAATTCTCTTGACAGATATATTAGTTTGAAAACAATAAATACAATGAGGAAAACTACAATAGAATCTTATCTTAATCAATAATTATATAGTTTTTTTTTTTAGTGATAATGATGTTATAATTAATTAATAAATTTTTATTTTTACGACTGAAAATTTTTATTCTTTATTGGTGTCACGTGCAACCAATGAAATGCTTTGTTTCTCTAAGTCTAAGTGCACGCTATCACTCATTCCCAAGGGGGTGCACTTAGTGGGGGGGTTGACTGTAGTTTATTAATTATTTTTTCAAATCATATATTCTGAATTACTGGGGCTATTAAATGTTGCTTTATTGAATTAGTAGTAAGTCTTCTTTCTATATTCAATTTTAGGATCATTTTGACCATATACTACACAAGGGCCAGTATTTTTTTACCTATACCTTTGGTCATTTTACAAAGAATAATATACAAAAATAGATTTTAATTATGTTTGACAATTATATAGTTGACTTGGTCTAAAGACCTCTTAAATTTTGTGCAAGTTTTAAAAGCATAGAAGTCATTTTCTGTCCTACCTTTTAAAAAAAATAGCTCTATTAGTTGATATAATAAGTCTTTAGTTTTAATGTATGTAATAAAGAGATTTTTCAAAAAATTTGTTGTAGAGTTCTATTCTTTTTTAAAACATGTACTTTACTGTGTTCATAAGGAACTTAGCGCTAGGATCATTACTAAATTTCGACTAATACTCGACCATCATATCTAAATTTGGCAGCAAGGAAAAATAACCAAAATCACGTGAAGACCTTTTTCAAAGAATTGAGCGCATGGCGCAGCAACTAGAGGTCTTTAGACCAAGCCAACCATATACAATTATACTTTAAAATATAATTTAATTTTATTGTGCATGAAAATAAAATCCATGTGAAAATTAAATTAACCCTCCATATTTAATTATATGTTATACAACAATTTCGTAAAGATTGACCCAAAGATTTAAATGAAGAAAATGTACCATCTGCATTAATTAATTTTCAATTAATATTGGGTATTTCTTTTATCTTTATGAAACAGCGAAATCCTTGAATAAACATTAATAAATCACAACACCGAATAAATTCAATCATATATAGTATTTCAATCATTTTCTTCTGAATTAAAGCATTTAAAAGAATCCAATCTTTCTAAAACTCGAATAGAAGAACCATTCTTGATGATATATGGTTTACAAGAACGTTCAGGAACATGAATCATATGTTGTCCAAAATATATTCTGCCCTATATAATATTTATTTATAATAAAATCAATCTAATGTTTATCAAAATCAAATAATAATAATAATAATAATAATAATAATAATAATAAATAATTACATTAAATCTACGATTTAATGCCAAAGTTGAATACGGTTCATTGGACTTTTCTGCAGTTTCTTGATTTATACAAACCATATGACATCTCCTACAAGGTCCGATCATCTATTCAATTAAAACGAGAAAATATTTAATAAACATATATATGTATATATATGTATATATATATATATATAACAATTTTACTTCAAAAACTTGTTCTCCGATACTAATCAATTTCCATCCGTCTTCCTCATATTTTTTTGCACCTTTAATTAAAAAGTTGCCACGAAAACAATCAGCCGAAATTTCATTTTTCCCGCTATTTCGAATCTTTTCATTTAAATTAATAACACTCGATTTTGAAATCATTAAAAATGGTGATTCATTTGATAATGAAATCGGTGTAGCATTTACACCTACTTCAAGATGTGGTTTAACATGACGATGATACAATGATTTTTTATTTTCATCATTATCAATAATATTAATAATAGGGGGAAATCGAGCCAGTTGACACGAGACACCAAGAAAAGATGTAAACCATTCATTAATTTCTGAATTTTTATATCTAATTGATTGAATCCTATAATATATGTTTATGTTTATATGTTATTAAAAATAAAAACCCCGTATGTTTACAATTAAAATACACAGAATAATTACCTGTCACCGCAAACTCGCGAATCGCATTTTATAAAATCAATTGGCTCAGGATATTCGTTCAAATCCAATTGTAATGGGAATTTATCTTTCATAATTATAGTAATCATGTTAATAAATAAATGCAAATGATTTCTTTGATTTATATTAAAACAAAAAACATGTATTTTTATTTACTTGGTGCATTGATTATCAGTACACCCTTTTCTAATTGAATTGACGGGAGAAGTAACGCCATACGAGGAACTCTACCAATTAAATTTCGTTCAATCTTCATATGATTAATCATTTTTTTTCCTGCTCAAATTCTCTACACAAGAAAAAATCAACTTACTTCTTCTGGCTCAAAGCTTGTCCGGTTTCTGAATCAACCAACATCCATTCACGATCATACAATAATCCTTGAGCTGTTATTGGCCAAGATGTTGACCATGGAACAACAAGCCCGTGACATGATTTAATGGGATCTTTAAAGATGACACAATAAGTATGAAAATTCTAAATCAAGATGTTATTATCAGATAGGAGGATTTTTTAAAAAATTACATACATAAAGTAACAGTTTCTAAAAATAATTGTGAATTTCCATCGTCATCGCCATGATTAAATTTTTTAGTAATTTTCTTAAAACTTTTATTCGTATCTAACGATGTTAAGTTCGATGGTTTATTTTCCACAAAATATTTCTCAAGGAAATCTAACCAACCAAGAATATCATCAATGGTAGACATTGATCCCAATGAAACACGAAGAGATCCCGTTGGTTTTCCATTAAACATATCTTGCTCATCTCCGCATGTTTTACCAGCCTTTGTAATCAAAAAATAATAAATACCTTTTAAACAAACGAATGAATAAATAAACAAATGATAAATAATCCAAACCTTATAATTTTCTATTCTATCAATCGTGGTCACATTGATCCATTTAGCCACACTACCAGGATTACAATGTTCACCGGCTCTAATATGTATTCCATTCATGCCGGCCAATCTCTCAACCTCCAAATATCCAACCCATGAACCGTCTGAACGTTTAACATTAAAATTTATAACAGGACCTTGACCAGTATTATCAGAAAAATCTTTTTTATTTGAATAGATAACACAAACCGCTTCGCCATTCGAATGATAGAGAGATTTCATGCTTCTATATAAATATGTGATGAGTGAAGTTACGTGTTTTTTGATAAAATCAAAATTTGTGTAAAGATTTTCCGAAACAGTAAATGCATGATCAAGGGCAACTATATCAAGAAAGTTTATTGTACCGTCTTCAAAACGTTCACTCAATTTCTCCCGAAATATTTGCCATGGCCTGTCATATGCAATTGCTTGAACTATATACATGTACGTTGAAAATAAAAATTTAATTTTTTTAGGAATGAAAAATCACAAACACACGTAAAAATAAAAATAATCCGTTATGCACTTACTAGTACCACCACCAAAATACCGTTTCTTCAAAATTGGTGATAATTCAGATTTCACCAGTAAAGCACCTAAGCCTGTTGGAAAGCCAAACATTTTATAAAAGCTCATAACCACAAAATCTGGTGACGAATCTTTATCTTCCAATGATAATAGAGATGATGATACGAAAGATGCGGCATCTAGTAATACTAGGAATTTTGAATCGAGTCTTTTTATTTCTTTAGACCATTTAAATGGAAAACGTTGACCCGAAAAATTACACTGAGCAGGATAAGCAAAAAGATTATATATATTCGTCTGGTTTTCGCCATTATCATCATCACTACCATAGCAAGAAATAGGATTTTGTTGATCTTGGTCAATAAATGACATGGATGTTAAATCATCTTCTGACACAACTTTAACATCATTGATTTGGTGTTCTTCTGCAAATCTTCTTAAACCTATTAAACTGTTATGAGCTTCTCTTAAATATATAAATTTACTTTTTCTTTTTGTCCACGGAAATGCTTCTCCAACTATTTTTATGGCAGCAGTTGTATTTTGTGTAAATATAACTTGATAGTCACCAGGCTTAACATTAAAATGATTTAGAATTCGGGTTCGGACTTTTTCTACCCGTTGAGCAGTAAGTTGTGAACTGGGCGAATTCGAAGAATGCGGATTTCCGTAAATTTTAGTAGAGATATCCTTGGTAAAAGATGTTAATGCACTATTTGCATGAATTGTTGTGCCTGAATGATCAAGGTATATAATACCTGTTTAAGTGTTTTTTTAATGTTAGCAAAAATGGTTCAAGAAAAAAAGATCTCTTATTGGCATAATAGAATTACCTTTAAGTTGTTGATATTCAACCTCGCGTATTTGATCGATTTTTCCATTATATCCATAATCGGGAGAAAATTCTTTGATAAAATTGTTTTTTTCAATAATGAAATTTGATGTAAAATTATTATTTGGATTTGGGTTCATTTTATTTTTTATAATTAAAAAACAGCAATAAATATTACATAATCGGATAAACAGAAAATTTTATTTTTAAAAAATGTGCATATAAATAAATTTACAAATATAATACAATATTTCAAATTTTTTTTTGATCCAAAATTTTCTTTTTATTTTCCAAGATTTTTTTCAAATTGTTCAGTTTCTTTTGAGCCAGACTATTATTAACACTTTTAGAAGCTTGCTGATAGCACTCAATAGCCTGATGAATATTTTTTTTTGTGCCAACACCTTCTTCATAACATCTGCCTAATTCCATCTGACTAACAACATTACCATTTTCAGCAGAACTCAAAAATAATTCAAAAGCCTTTTGCAAATCTTTTGTTGTACCATAACCTCTTTCATAACATAAGCCCAATAACCATTTACCTTTAAAATTATCATTATCTGCAGATTTTTTTAACCATTCATAAGCTTTTTTTCTATCAATCTTTATCCCAATTCCCCAATAGTAACATCTGCCCAAAAAATATTGACCTATGGAATTACCAGTTTTTGCAGATTTTTCATAATGATTGAAAGCTAATTGTTTGTCTTGCACCGTACCAATAGAATTTTCATAGAAAAATCCTATTATGAAATTAAAATTTGAATCATCACTATAATTTTTTAGTAATGATTTAAAAGTTGATTTGTGTTCTCTCATATGATTATGTAAAAATCCCTTTAGACTGGTTATTATATAGTCATTATCACCTGATAATTCTAATAATTCTATAAAGAATTTTAGTAAATTTCCAAAAAATGTTGAGTCAGTATCTGCTATAATTTTTTTATTACTTTCTAAACTGTTGTTTGAAGAATTTGATTTTGTTGGACTTTGTGGAATTTGGTGAAATGTGGTTACAGAAGAAGAAGAAGAAGAAGAAGACGATGGGGAAGATGGAGAAGATGGAGAAGATGGAGACGATGATGCAAGTGCCACACCATTAAATGAACTTCTTCTATATTGGGCTGTTAATCGATTTTGAGAAGGATTCAATGTGTCGTTAAAAGAACTTCTTCTTGAAGAAAACGAAGAAGAGGAAACGGTTCTATTCGTTTTTAATGATCTGCCACTATTATTAACACTACTACTGCTACTACTATTATATTTGTTGATAGTACTATTTCGTTCATCCGATGATTTTATGATGTTAATATTTGGTGGCGTGGTTTTTTTTTTGATAGATTTTTGATTTTCTAATTTTATTGATTTTTTTTGATTAGTACTATTTGAAGAAGAAGATTTTATTCCGTCCCTTATTTTAGAAGTAACATTAATTTGACCTAGTATTTTTTTAACTTCGTTAATGTCAGGTCTTTTATCTGGGTCATCATTCCAACAATTTTTGTAAAGATCTATATAACTTTGTGGTGTTCCTTTTGCTGACGATTCTTGAGTTATTGAAGAAGACAAAGAAGGAGAAGACGATGAGTTGTTGTTTGATGGCAAGTAAAGGGTTCTAGATGGAATTTTACCACTTGATATTTCCCAAAGTAAAAAGCCTAGACTATAAATATCCAATTTTTTATTATTATTTTCATAACCTTGCGGATCAATATATGTTGTATCACCTTTAATATCTGATATTAAGGATGATCCAAAAATTGAAATTTTGATTTTTCCTTTATTAATAAGTATATTACTATCGGCGTGCTAAATATATATAAAATGAAATTAATACAAGTAATAAACGTGTATGTTATATTTTAAATTAATAAATATATAAACCTACAAGTTCTTTATGAATTGTATTCTCTGAATGTAAACAAGCCATTACACTTGTAACTTGTTTTGCAAGATCTAACTTGTCGTTCCAACTTAATGATGAAAAGTTTTTGTTTAAATAATTTCTTAAAGTTCCGCCATCTGCATACTCGATTACTAATAAATATTTATTGGTATTTGACTCTATAAAATATAAATAAATTAAAATGTTAATTTCACTCTTTTCTTCTATTCATACCAAATTAATTCGTTCATTAATTACCTTTGGTTATTCCATAAAATTTTAAGATATTTGAGTGAAAATCCAACTTTTGGCGTAACTTGAGCTAACAACAAAAAAAGGATGAATCACTATTTAATTTATAAATGCATAATTAATTAAGCATAATATTATTATTTATTGTTCTTTCATACCTCATCAATAAAAGAATGTAAAATAGATCTGTTTTCTTGAGAAGTAACATCAATCATCAATTCTTTTAATGTCACAATAACATTCTTTAATTTCCAATCTGCTTTATAAATTTTATTACGCTCTTCCTTTATACTAATTTCTTCAATCTCGTTAAATTGCTCATATTCATATAAATTCAATTGCTTTTCATTTATCAATTCTTCAAACAAACTCGAAGGAAATTTTGCAATAGTCGTGTTGGCAATCATGTTGATCTTGTTGGTTGTTATCAATGGAGTAGTTTGATTTTCTGTAAAAAATCTTTATAAAAAGTTAGACCATTTTATATGTTACACGGGAATGATATCAATTTGAATATGAATATCCGCCAGATTGACGGATGGCTTTTTTTAATATTAATATTAATATTAAAAAGTCTTCATTTACGAATGGTTATCATTTATATAAAGAATTATTATCTTTACGAC